CGCACAACCTATCAGCCTCCAAAGCCTCACGTCAACCTCCGGACCAAGCCCATCCCACCAAAGCCCCATCAGCCCAACCACCCCGTCAACCTCCGGACTAAGCTTATCCCACCAAAGCCCCATCAGCCCGACCACCCCATCAAGCCCGAACCACCAAATCAGAGAGAGAGAGAGACAGAGAGAGGGGAGGAAGGTCTTACCTCAATCTCGACCCGCACCAAGAAGGCGGGTGGGAGTCCAACAACTTGCCCGGCTCAGAAACCAAAAATTCTCGTGCTGCAACATAGGCACCATAGCAGATCTGGCGAGCCCTACACCGGAGGGGTCTTCAGCTTCAAGAGAGGGGAGCATCTCGGCCCGCGGCGGCCAGAACCGGGCCGTACGGAGAGCCCTGTGGAGCGGAGGCACGACGACAATTGACGGCTCTACTAGGCTAGGGATTTGAGGGGAGAAATATTTTGGAGAGAGAAAAAGTCTGAGGCCAGGATCTTTTCCTATGTTTGTTTGTTTCGCGTTTCCAAATTATGGCTTTTACTCAAGGTTCTGAAAACCGAACCGGTGAAGCTACCGGTTTAATGGTTCACTGGTCGGACCATTGGTCGAACCAGTTTAATTAATATTAATTTTTATTTATTTTGTATGTAAAATATATAATTGTATATATTTTTATCATTAATTTTATAGTGTGTAATGAAATTTGTCTAACTAAATAAAAAGAAAAAAAGGCTTATGAAATGACAACATATTGTAAGAATTCCTACAGGCTTATGTATGTAATGACCAAATTTGTCCTCATTAATTTTGTTGTATTTCTAGGAGTTACTAGTTTCGGTGCAACAGAGGGACAATCGAATGAATTTGTGGGAAGTCAGCTAAATTTGGGGGTTTATATTATTTTTATTTTAGAATTCCATGCATCTTTATACATTAATTTGTCCCTTGGGCCCCATAAAGCAATGGTGCAGCTGCAATGGTTGTTTTTAGAGAAATTTTAATAGAGAACGTAGGCCCATTAGTGGCCCAACAAATTCACAAGCTTTTATTTATTTGCTGTGAACAAAGCATCCCACATCGGCAAAAGAAAGAAAGAATTTCAGCTATTTAAGTGGTTCTTCAAAGACTTTCTCACAAGAAACTAGCAGGACTGCTAGGCCGCGTGAACCGCAACCAATTTAATGGTTTTGGCGGTTTTTAACCGGTTTAAGTGGTTCTTATCCGATTCTGAACCCCAACGGTTCCACACCTCAACCCAGACCGGTTTAACGGGTTTGCTCGCTGGGTCACGGAACACGCGCGTACGGAGGCTGCTGACGCGGATCTGCTCGCAGAATCTCAAGCAGACCGGTTTAAGCGGTTCTTATCCGATTCTGAACCAGCGGTTCCACACCTCAACCCGGACCGGTTTAACGGGTTTGCTCGCTGGGTCACTGACGCGGTCTGCTCGCAGAATCTCAAGCAGACCGGTTTAAGTGGTTCTTATCCGATTCTGAACCAGCTGTTCCACACCTCAACCCAGACCGGTTTAACGGGTTTGCTCGCTGGGTCATGGGACACGTGCGTACGGAGGCTGCTGACACGGATCTGCTCGCAGAATCTCAAGCAGCTACGAAGCTGAATTTTCTGAAACTACGAAGTTGTATTCTCAAGTAGGATCTCGTGCAGCTATGAAGCTGGCGACTACGAAGTCAATTAATTAAAAAAAAAACTATGAAGCTTGCCGCTGGCACGGGCTGGCACGTACCGGTGCTGGTTGAGCTCATCTGGCTGCTAGTGGGCTCGTCAGGGCGCGCTCGGGGTTGCTGGACGCGAGCTGAAGGCGTGATGAAGATGTGGTCATCGACCCATCCGAGCCCGAGGACGAGACCTACGATGACTTAGAGGAATGGCGCGCGATTAGGCAAGAAAGGCCCCGAGGGAGTGGAAAAAGGGTGCGTACACGCACCATGAGACGCGCACATGGCTGGCGTACGGTACGCGCACCGGTAACACACGGCAGCCGAGCCGTGAGGCGCGCGAGTCTAGGCCATGTGAAGAACGGCTACGCGACGGGAAGAGCGAGCGAGGATGCGCAATGGGCTGACGCCGAGTGCGCGATGACAGGGTCCGGCAAGGTGCACGACTGGTGTAAGGCGTGCGCGAAGGAACGGCGCGCACGACGTATGGAGGCTAAGACGGGCGGTGTGCGAGGGGTGGACATTGGGTGGTTAGCGCGCACAGCCGATGATCGAGAGGAGGCGGGCGCGATGTGGCGCGCAGATGGGCAGGACGCGACGCGCGAGGCGCTGATCGGGCGCGAAGGTGATGACGGAAGAGTTGGCGTGCGCGGCACTTGCGCAGAGGAAGAGAACGCGTGGGCGATGGGGCGCGAGTGCGTGACGCAGGCAGCGGGGTGCACGTACAACGCGGACGCGAGCGATGCCAAGAGCGCCAAGGACTAGGCCTAGCAAGGAAGATTTGGGGCATGATTTACTTAGCTTTCTTTGGAATTCTAGTATGGTTAGGATTTTAATAAAAGGCATGTGCCTATTAGTATTTTATTTGCATAGTAATTCTTAGATGATAGGATATTTAGTTTCCATAAGATTTTATTCTCTTTCATGTTTTAGTATTCTAGTTGGAGTAGGATTAGATTTATTTAGCACCTATAAATACCCTTGTACTCTTAGAGTATGCTTGGATACAAATTAGTTCCGAAAAATTTCCGAATTTGCACTGTTCATATCACGACAATGTATTCAAAAATCTGTTCGCCATCTGCAGGAACTTAATTATGTGGGGCCCGCCATTTTGAGTCTATCACCATTATTTTTTGGGTCTATCACCATCAAATCCTTTTGAACATAATAATATCACAATAATTTTGCAATGGGGCCCGTGCTTCATTGTAGTGGACCTTTTTTGATTAAAAACTGAAAAAAAC